GAAAATATGAACCTAAGAAATAAATGGTAGTCTCAAATTGGCAGTTTTTAGCCAATATCAAGCAAGAAATTTGAACCCAAATCCGATGACTTCCAAGTTCACGAACTTGGAATTTCAATCCTCAGCTTCTTACACTAGACCTGGGGTCCTCAAACTTTTTAAACAGGGGGCCAGTTCACTGTCCCTCAGACCGTTGGAGGGCTGGACTATAGTTTAAAAAAAAAATTCCTATGCACACTGCACTTTTTTTTTTAAAGGATGGAGACAGATCCAGTCAGGGACAAGACGGCCTGCTGGGTCTCCTTGCTTTAGTAGTTTCCAGTCAATCAGTTCATAAAGTTGGAGAGGGTGAGGCGGGAGACAGTGAGGCTGCCACCGGGAGCTCTGGATGTACTCTCCTGGGGCAGGCTTGGCAGGTACAGACTGTGGGACAAGACCTCCCAGGCCCCACCGGGGACTGGTAGGAAGACCATGGATCAGTGGCTGCTCTCCCACACAGATGGAGACCTGGGACTCAGAGGTTGTGCCATGGGCGTATATGCCCCATCAGGTCACAGACCATAAGTGCCCTGGTGAGCCTGGAAAGATTTGACCAGAGCGATTCATGCAGTGACCTGGCTGGAGCCACCGACTAGGACATGGCCTTGTAGTGGTTGCATCCGCTCACACAACTTAGGGGGTCAGCACGGGCCCTGCTGAGGGCTGGAGCCCTTGTGTGAATTGGGGCTCATAGGGGTGAGACCAGATAGGCAGGGAGGGGTCGCCAGGCTAAGTAGAGAAGCCAAGGGTGTTGTGTCTTTCAAGACACAGACACCCTAAGACCAGAGTCCCAGCCTCAAACCTCAAAGGCCAAGATGAACCAGCCCTTGGCCCCCTTCTGGCACAGGGGATAGGATCGTCAGGAAACACCGCCGCCCCCCCCTCCATCCAGCCCTCCCTACCTGAAGGTCAGTAGGCTGTAGTTCTAAAGGGGGGTGACCAAAGCCTATGGCTGCTTGGGGTTGGGCTGCCCGCTTACTTCCCCTGGAAGGCAGATTTGTTGCCTTTCGGGATGAACTTCAGGGAGCTGCTGAATATTCAGAAGCGGGACTGCCCCCGCTTGGGCCCATCATTGAGGAACTCGTGGCCAAGCCCGTGTCTGCATTTACCGCAGGACACCTTAAACACATCAGGCTGATTGTGCTCGGGCCACTTGGCTACGCTATCATCCTGGATGGTCTTCATGAAGGCTGGCCACGGCAACTGAGTGCTCGTACTTGGAGCAGCTGGAGAACAGCTTGTAGCCGCACTTGGCACACACTTGGCACACACGTAGACAGTGGGTTCAAAGTGATTCTGGAAAACCTCACCCCCAGAGAAGCTGCAGAAAGACATAGTGCCACCAGGTTCCTGTCCCGTTCTCACAATTCGACAGCTCTGAGTCCACCGACCCCACCGCACATATCTTATTTTGAAGTAAAAAAACAAAACGGGCAAAAACACCCAGCAGCCTCGGGCCTGATAAATGTCCTCTGCAGACACGCATGTGGCCCACAGGCCATAGTTTAAGGACCCCTGCACTAGGGTGTTTGAGCTTGAAGTCCCAAGGAGTCTGTCTGTTCCTGCCATCTTCAATAGGTGTGTTTAAGGTAAATTCTAGTTCATTTAGAGGGGTTTCCAAATAGAATTCTTCTGATGGGAACGATGAAGAGTACTGCATGCCTCACAAGGACAAAATCCAGATACCCGGTAGCAGTCACCTGGATTGTGGGATACTAGCTGTGTTAGACAGGGTTCTCTAGAGAGATAAAACCAAATTGCTGATAATTTAGTATATTTATTTATAAAGATAATTAGATATGTAACACAAGAAATGAACTGTTAAATTATATACAGATAGATATATAATACAAGAAATGGACAGTTAAATTACAAAGTAGTACAAATGGCTCAGTGCAACTCACTCCCAT